AAAAAAAAAAAAAATTAACATTTCTTTGAAAAGGCTAGCCAGCCTGCAGAGTCCCAACGAAAAAGTAATTCTGATCCAGACTAACAACCCCCTACCCTCCTTAAAAATTTGCCAAAAAGTCACTGTATATAAATTTAAGGCTTTTCACCTGCTCTACTGAGAGCCTAATTTCTGGGCTGCATTTCTAGTTTACAGGATAATGGCATCCACTTATTTGTAGACACTTCTGTGGCTGCATTCAAATCTCATGTTTATTGTCCTAATGGATAGTTAGCCCATATAGCAATTGTTCTCTTTTTCCAGAGTATTCTTCACACTGCATTTTTAATAATAATAAGCAAAGACTTTTAAAATGTTCAAGGCAAGCCAAGAATTCTACTGCCTCTATCTATTTGCAGTTGGATAGGTTATCAGGGGAGGGCAAGACAGACCCTCAGTAGGAATCACTGCCCGGTGATCACACCTACACGCTTTGTGTTCCAAGACCCCTGGCCCCCGTGACATGCAGTGCTGCGGGATGAGCCTGATGTCGGGGAGCAGGGACCTCTATGTACTAGTTAAGTTCCGCAGCACAGTAAAATCTAAAGATGGTCAGTCAGTCAAAAGTAGCCAATTTTTTGCCTGTCACAAATGAAAAGCTAGAAGAGAAATAATCATTTTTTCCTACCTGGTGAAAACATAAATTCTTCAGATTTAAAAAGAGTACCTTTGGCAGAGGATGATACACGGCCAAGTCCCTAACTATAAACTATAAGAACTATAAACACAAAGAGAATGAGGACAGAAAACAAACAAAGAGCTACCAATGGTGTCCAGCCAGCGTGGTCCTTAACGTTCGGGTCACTGCCACTTTGGAGGAGGTATTCAACCGAAGGCACGTCCCCCTAGCAAAACAAGGGGAGGAAAAGACATTACAGAGCGTCAAGGAGAGCAGGGAAGAAGATACAGAGGTGCAAAGGTTTTTTAATTGTCTTCTTCAAAATAAAGTAAAACTTAAGTCTTTTTTCTTTACAGCTGCTTCTGATGAGCTAATAAATTACGTACACATGAATTGTTCTGCACTATCAAAAACTATGGCCATCCTTGAATACACACTCCAAAAATCTCTGTTAGCAACCCATATTCAAAATTCACTTCAAGATATCAAATAATGGACATTGGCTAAGGATCATCTAATCATAATGAATTTTTTGTTTGTTTGTTTTTTGGGGTTTTTTTTGGCCCGGGCTGGGTTTGAACCTGTCACCTCCAGCATATGGGGCCAGCGCCTACTCCTTTGAGCCACAAGCACCGCCCCATAATGAAGTTTATAAAGACATCATTTCATTAGTGAAAAAATCCTTTTGGAGTATACATGAGAATGGTTTCTGAGTATTGTTTGAAACAAACGAAACTACTTAAAGCCAAGAAAACTATTTAGTGAAACCAATGTTAAAACTCCCTGAAACTGTTACCTTATTTCAGTTATTCTTTTTATCCTAAAACATTTAGTTTTTATATTCACCTTACTTGCCCAAAAGAATTTCTAGACAGAAGCAGTTGCTCTGTTTAAAAAGGCCGAGAACAGGTCAACAACATCCTGTTCAAACGACCCGAGGAAGCAGCATTTAATCCTGGTTCGAGACCACAGTGGCCGCTCATCATCAGCTTAACCATAGGAAATGGAGCTTCCATAAAATAATGGCATAGCCTGACCAATCACAACGGTTTTCAATCTTTCCTTTCCTCTGTCTTCCCTGGTCCAACACTCTGGAGATTTATCCAATAATTTTTTAACTATGGCTCACTGATGTAGTGAAGGGAAAAGGAACCTGAGGAAAAATAAGACATACTGTAAATTCTAACCTGTTTTTGAAGAAGATAAACCAGAAGATTAGGGGAATAAGTGAATTAAAATGGGGCACAAGGCAAGGAAGACAGGCTCAAGGCAGACAATACTAATTCTATTTTCCTATTCAGACACTTTCATTAGTATTAAATAGCATTAAAATTGAAGTTCCCTTCCCATTTTGAACTTTCTGTGTCTTGTGTGACATAATCTAACTAAATCTTAATATAGAGAATAGACTTTATAAGCTGCCTTTTGAAGGAAAACCTAAAATAGCTTGGGCAGTCTGCTTCTCTCCGTGGCCCACTTCTAGTGAAGCCACGGAGCTGCGCCCCAGGAAACTGGTCTCCAGTCATCTCTCCCCTCACTCTCACTCTCCTTTCTGTTCCTTTTCCCAGAAGAAAGACATATAATCCTCAAAGGATTTAATAATGAGTCTCTCCAGTTCATCCCTTAATCTAACATGGAAAAAAATCTAACATCTTTCATATTTAATCATGTATTACATTTACGTATCAGTTAACTCTCAAGGCCTTTTATAAAACCTCTAGCTCAGGTGTCCTCAAACTACGGCCCGCGGGCCACATGCAGCCCACCTAGGACATTTATCCGGCCCCTGGGCGTTTTTGCAGCTGCTGCCTGTCCTGCTTAGCAGCCGACTTGTCCCGAGGCCCACAGTCCGGCCCTCCAGCGGTCTGAGGGACAGTGAACTGGCCCCCTGTTTAAAAAGTTTGAGGACCCCCGCTCTAGCTATAAAATAAAAGACATCCTTTTGTAAAACAGTGTCAGGCTTTACAAAGGCTACCAGTAAAGTAGTGAGAGGAAGGAACAATTCTTACTGAAAATAGAGGAGCGGGTAAGGTACCTAGGTTCATAAAGATAAAAATAAAACAAAAATAACTAAGTACCATAGACAAGGCTGTGTTTAGTTTTGTGAAGTACTCCTTTAGAGAAAAAGAAATCTGAGCTCTTCCACCCTCAGCCCCAATATTCTTTTCTGAAATGATATTTTTTTCCTCTGTTGGTTTGACAACATAGAAAGCACTAAGTCCCCAAACACAATAATGTTAGCTTTCTTTGTTGCTTTTTACTTCTATTTATTTCTTTTTCCAAGTTTTGGGCCGTTTCTCAAATACGGCAACTTACTATAACTTAAAATTTTTCTTAAAAATTAAATCCACATGCAGCATACGTTTTTCTGTTCCTAAATTAACAAAAATGATTTTAAATGTCCAATGGGCTTAAAAAAGCAAGTGTATGTTTCAAATCGATTG